GATGTGAATCAGGTTAATGAAAACCTTGTGAAAAATCGGGTTTAAGAATCCCCGTGAATCCAGTCACGACTTGGACTAGTTAAATTGTGTTGGTTAATGCCCTTGACTTTTGAAAATGAATTCGAAAAATTTGTTCTGGTTTTTAGAAAGCTCGATATTTCTTTAAAATCAAAGTGGGGTGTTACAGTAACATCGTCAAAATATTTACAAATCCATGATCAAAATTCCTGAACCAGCCGCCAACTCACACCTCTGGCCCGACGTCATGACCTAAAAAACATAATAAAAGTGGGGCGTGAGCACTAAAATACACTGTGCTCCGTGGAAACTCATACTAAAGTAAACAGTGAAAATAATTATAATAACATGATCCAGGCATATATAACTGAACTGAACTGAAACCGGTACTGAATAATCATGACATGATACTGGTGGTGAGATAAAATCATCACCTGCCTGATACCTGAACATCTGCCAGCACAAATCTAATGCTGGACACCATGTGCACACTTTAGTGGGCAGACTAAGGCCACTAGAACCCAGAATGAACCGGCGACCATTCCGAGCGGATACAGATAATACATACCTCAAACATGGTAGAATAATTATAATCAATGTAATACCCAGTCTGAGTCCCCACCTGAACTGTCTGACTGAAAAAGGTAGTGCTGATAATCGGATCCTGATCAAACTGAAAATAATATAAACTATTACTAACTGCTATGCTCAGACTGATAAAATAACTTTTTAATATGTTAAGATGCTCTACTGAACTTGACATAATATTTGGATCTAACCGGTATAACCGGACCGGATAAATCGGAACTAAACAGACATGAATTTACTGAACTGAACCGGACCCAGAATTTAACTGGAAACGGGACTTAAAACATGAATTGGGATTTAAATAATAATTTACGAATCAAACCGGTAAAACCGGTCTGAACCGGATCGGGACCGGTCTGACCGAACCGCCGGTCCGCTGGGCCGGGCGGTCAGTGACTGACTCGGCCCATGGCCATGCCATGGCTGTGGGCGCGGCTGTTGGCGGGACTGGCGTAGGCACGGCTACTGCAGGGCCTGCTCTGGCTCGGCCGAGGGTGCTGCGTGCACCTGGCCATGGCTGCCATGAGTGGGACATGACCTGGGGCACTGCCGAATGCTATGTGCATCGGCTGCCACCTGACTGGGCACTGTAGGGTGTTGACGTGCATACCCCGACGTGCAGCTGTACACTAGAAGGCGCGCACAGGCGCTGGCTGGGCAGAACTGACACCGTGCGGGCGCTACCGTGCGACATCCACGGTGCTGGCCACTCGGGCGGCCTACTGGGCGCTGCCGAGGCCATTGATGCATGACGCTGCGCGCTGGCGTGCGTTTCCGCACGCTGGCGTGCATGGCTGTGCATTAGCGTGCGCACGCGCACCACCAACAACTGCCTGTTGTAGGTACTGATCGCACACGGAACTATACCGCGCATCCCGCACACCCGCTGGTACGCTGCGGCGGCGA